TCAATTTTTGTTTATTGATTATATATTATTTATTTATTATTTATATAATATTTGTTGAGAGATCTAGTAGCTATAATAACTAAATGGAACACCTATATTCAGAAGTAGGGTATCTGTGAATGTGAGGGCATGTAGTGAGAGAAAACACCTTTATTCTCGACTTGGAACTTCTGCAAGAGATCTGACTGGTGCTCTGGGCAATGTAGTGGAAGATGGCTTTTCAGCCTGGTCTAAGCAAACTCTTTATAATGCGTACTGGAACAATATCCCTTTTGGGAGATGATGTGCCTCACATTATTACACAACAATAGTCCATTTTGAATCTATCAGTTTGGTAATTCAGTAATCCCACATGAATGATACATAAGAGCCTTCTCCAGCCTCCAAACTATGACTCATAATCAGTGCAAATTGCTCTTATTCCTCCAGGACATTCCACAAACAAAATTACTTTTGCAGGAGATACTAAAACTATTTTAACATCTATGTCACTCTGTGGAAGTGACATAATACTCAGTTGTAAGAAGTAAAATGTGGATATGCTTAATATGACATTAAGGAAAATCAGAGTCAATTCCCTGAGCTTCCATGTGCTCATTTTTTCTCTCTCTCTAGATGGGACCATCCTTTGCCATCATCTTTATTTCTAAGAATTCCTATGAGCTTCACATGCAGAAATCCCTAGAGGCTTATTACAGGTCCAATTGCCCTTCACCATAGATACCATAAGGATACCATTTGCAGTGGGTAGTACTTCCTGTCAATGGCTACCAGTTGTGATGTTTGGGTTCTTCCTTAGAGTTGAATTAGAAAGCTATTGAGCAGAGAACTATAAAAATAAAATTGACTGGTCTCAGTAGTGATCTCTGTCCTGCCACAGGTGCTTCCTTGTAGCGTACAGGACACTTTAAGGTCAGTTCCCATGACTTTATTCCCCCCACCCCAAACATCACCAGCCAGCAAGAAAAGATCCAGCAACCACTCTCTTTAAGGTAGGCTGAAGCAAGATCTGACTGTCCAAACTTGCTCTGGTTTTATGCGAGTGTTTGGCATGGGGTGCCTTCAAAGAGAGCCAGGTTCAGGCTGACCCAAGGACAGGAGAAGAGCCCAGGTTGCAAGGACTGGATTTTCCCATTACCTAAAACAGAATAGTCCTGGAAGAAACGCTGAGGAACCAGAGGAGAGAGGGCAGGTGTGCATCAGCCTAAAGGGGCCAGTATATGCTAGCTGGTTGCACCCTCCAGAGATCCCTTGACTGACACTGACTGAAGGGTTGGTGAAACATCAGACAGCACCCACAGCAAAACTGCTGTGGCTTGTTGCACAGTTAAAAGGGAAAAGAGGACTTGGATACTCCAACTGCTAAGGATGACTTTAGGCTACCTCAGGTATAGTTTGGGGATGAAATGAAGGCAATTCCTTAGGTTTCTTATGGCACACAATTTTTTTTATTCAGGAGCATGCCAGTTTTATAATACACCCCCCTATAATGCAGAAAACTTAAAATATCATAGTAAGCATCTGCTAGCTTACAAACAACTAGGAGGATGCTGCAGACCATAATGGAATTTGTTCGGTTTTGGCTTAGTGCAGGAGTTCTCAGATTTACAATAATGTAACTCCCTAAAGTAATAAATCAATATAACTGACCCCTTCATGAATAGAACAAATGATTTCCTTGGGGTTAGTGTTGGGCAAGAAATAAATAAACTTCTTTTAATTGTTAACTGCTAATCTATATATCAAGCAAACAATGGTTGAATCTTAAAATTTTATAAAATAAGACTGACTGGAAATAAGCAAACAGAATAAAATGTATACATATCTTTTTAAAGGGAAGGATGAACTTTCTTACTTTTGCATAATTCTTGTAATCTACGTCTCATTCTTTTTGTTCCACGTTTATTTTTGATCAATAATTGCTTTTCAGAACAGCAGTTCTGAGATAATCCTTACTTGTACATATTGATTGATTGATTGATTCGTTCATTATGTGCCATCAAGTCATTGTCAACTCTTAGCGACCACATAGATAGATTTTCTCCATGATGATCTGTCCCTAACCTGGTCTTTCAGGTCTTCCAACAATATTTGCACAAATAAGATGGTACAAATGAAATCAGGATGCTCTTCTTAATACTCATCTAAAATTCAGGATGAGATCACGATAGGAATTTTCAAAGAAATCTCAGAAGGCTGATCAATGAATTGTTTTACTTTTAGTAATGAGTGTACCAGCTATAAGTTTAGTGTCAACTAAAATAACAGCTAAGAATATTGAACTTCACTACTATATAATCTTCTACTGTATGTGGATATACTACTATGAACTATGTTGGTGTGATGCCAGAGACACATGGATATTTCTGAGAGAAATTGAACCTTATTATTGATGGTCAGTATCAGTGGATCCCCAATATCTGATAATAGCTTGTCACATGAGAGATGTCAGTTGTTCCCATCTACAGAAATAAGAGTCTTGCATTAAAAATCCCAATCCATAAAATGTTTACAGGTAGTCCTTATTTAATGTCCACTCGTTCAGCGACCATTTGAAGTTATGATGGTACTGTATTAGGGGTACTTATTACAGGTCTTCATAGTTGCAGTCATTGCAGCGTCCCTGTGGTTACCTGATCACAATTTGAGCACTTGGCAACGAGCTCGCAATTATAGCAGTTGCAATGTCCTGCGGTCACATGATCACCATTTGCAACCTTCACTGCTGGCTTCCAAGAAGCAAAGATAATGAAACTGGGAGGAGGTCACAAATGGTAATCTCGTGACTGCAGGACGCTGTGATTGCATGGGATTTGCCTAACGATGACAACTCGGACTGCCACAACTGCCATTGTAAGTTGGTGCAGTCATGTGATGTTGCGACGGAGTTCTTGGTCCTAATTACTGTTGGTAAGTGAGGACTACCTGTATATGTTAGTCAAAGCAAATTATCAGTTTTGGATGTAATGACAAGATTTTAACAAATAAATTAAAACTTAACAAACAAATGGATCATTGAACAAATCAACCCAGTATTCTCACTCAAGGCACAAATGACCAGGCTCAAATTATCCTATTTGGACACATTATGCAAAGACTTAGCTCTCTAGAGAAGGCTGTAATGCTGGGAAATGTGGAAGAAAAAGAAGAGGATGACCAGCAGCAAGGTGGGTGGACTCAGTTACAGTGGAGATACGTGCACTGTTGGAAGACCTGAAAGACCAGGTTAAGGACAGATCGCCATGGAGAAAATCTATCTTATGTGGTCGCCAAGAGTCAACACTAACTTGATGGTACATAATCAAAGATCGATTATGATATAAACAGATATGAAAGAATAAAAACATACTTTTCAAAATATTATGTCATATAAAAATTTTAAGGACACAGTGCTGTTCACAGTTCATAGCACTCTTGTGCCTTTGTTAAAAAATGGGAAGCAGATGGAAAACCAATTCATATGCTTAATAATACCACAAAGTATGAACTCAAGTCCCCTGGTTGAGGCAATATTTTTGTTTTTAATGTCACATCTGCCTAAGTTACTAGTGATCCCTAGTGATAATGACTTGCAGTTTGAGAATCCCTGGCTTAGTATGTCTAGGCATTCAGGCTTATATGAAATGTTCTTAATGCCATGAAAGGGACAGAGGGAACCCCATTTCCCATGGCAGTTTAGCCTTTTGTAAGGCGTGTTTTAAGTGGAAATTCATAGTGTTTCTCAACCTTGGCAATTTGAAGATGTGTGGACTTAAAGTCCCAGAATTCCCCAGCCAGCATGGCTGGCTGAGGAATTCTGGAAGCTGAAGTCCACATATCTTCAAGTTGCCAAGATTGAGAAACACTGGTCTAAAAAGTTACTATTGACATGTCCATGAGATCAATCTTTTGTAAACTGTGTTCTGCAGAAGACTGATATTTGGCAAATAGCCAAGCACCCCTGATGCAGCACTCTTCAGGACTTAAGCCTGGCTCAGTTGCCAGCAGAGTCTCTCCTTCAATCCCCCTGCATCTGCTTGTCGTGTTCTTTAAATCTACCAGGGAGTTGTAACATATGACCACAAGACGGACAGCATCAGGACTACTCTGTTCAGCACTTCTCCAGGCTAGTTTAGGCCCCCAACCTGTGGCTGCTATCCACAGAAGTCCATTGGAGGTCCAGGACACACTTCACATCTGGGTTCCAACAGAGGGTGACAGTGCGGTGGTACTGTGAGCAAAAGCTGAAGTTGTGTTGTTGAGATGAGCACTGTAGATTAAAACTGCAGTGGGGATATTAGGAAGATTAAATCCCCAAAGACATAGGTGGTGGCTCTACATTTAACTTTCATGGGTAGTTTGGCTCACCTACCAGGGAAAGCTGTTTCAACAGGTGAAAGGTATCTAGTATCTTACCACAGCTCAGGGGCCTTGACCAATTATGGCACAGTCATATTTTTCCATTATTGTTACATTATATTAAAACATCAATCTGATGTTGACAGTAAAATGTTATGTGATCAGGATGCTTATTAAAATACCTTTAAATCTAAATAACAATATTAAAATGTGCTTTATTTCAATTGTTCCCTTTTTCATTTTTTTTAAAGTAATAGTGTAGTAATGTAGAGCATCCAAATTATAGTAAGCATATAGAAATGTATCCTGTGGTATGGCTTTTGGTAGCAGTAGTGTAAATGCATAATCTAACACCCAGGGCTGCAACCCAGACACTTGCCCTTACACTCCTAGATTTAGGTAATAGGAGAGTGCAACTAAACACCACTGTTTATAGTACATGTCGATACCATCAGGAAGGATATTACAAGTGTGAAAAGTAACAGTAAGGGCAATTGAATAGCTTATCAAAGCATTTGGGAGGAAAGGGCACTGGGTGATTACAGTACCTCCTTTTTATCTTTCTGTTATCTAACTGTTCCAGTGTTATTGCCAACATAACTTGGCATATATATTGCCCATATAATGTGGCTTGGGGGCTTGCTCGGGACTCTCTCCTGCAGCCTGTCTGCCAGCAGGGAGCCCAGTGAGTCACTGTAAGTTTCTCCAATAAAGTATATTTTGTTATTTCTATCTCCAAATACTTTGGTTTTACTTTTGGTGAGCGTTTTCCTCACAACAGTAGTCATGAGGGTTTCTTATTAAAAACATTTGGTGACTCATGATCTTTAATAAGCAATGCACTAGGCTTTCATTAGCTGGGGATGATCTTTTCAGATAAAAGTATTTATTATGAAAATATGTTATAAACAGAAGGGATATTTTACAAACAGAAGGAAAACATTTCATAAACAGAAGGAATTCCATTATTTTGCTAGATATCAGTCAAAATTCAGATTAAAATCAGAATGTTCAGAAGATGAATAAATTGTTTTGTGAAAAATTCATTCCATTTTCATGAAAGAGATCCCCCTTTATTTATTTCAAGATATCCATCTTTCCTGGCCAGTCCATACCTGAATGTTTATCATTCCAGTGATGATTTGGGACATAACCACACCATTCATGATGATTTCTGGGTATTTTGTTTTTGCTGTTATTGTTTCAATGCCTGATTTATTATGTTTTTCTTTTATAAATATAATGTACAGTGCAACTTGACACTCATTCTGTCTGGGGATGAACTGGCAGAAGGGCCACTGTGTCATTCATCAGAGGCTGGAGGGATGATCCATTACACTGGGAATGTGTGTGATCCCATCTCTTTAGTCCCAGCAAAATCTCCATCTTGTGCTACTGATTGAATGACGGGGATAACTGACCCAGCTTTTCCAGCACAACTTTAGTACAGTCTCATTTGAATCCAGTTTAACTCCTGGTTGCTTCATGGGCCCATGCATGTAGTTTTTTTGATAACAGTACGAAAGTGATTCACCATTGCCGTTTCCTGGATTTTTGTTTAACAACCCCGTCTAGCCTACAACCCTGGGATTTCCTTGTGGTATGAACAAGGTCAGGTCTCTTTTTTCTCCAGGCAGACTAGCTTTTCATTAGTATAAGGACTCAACTATCTAACAAATACATGGAAAGAAATTGTGAGTTTTATAGGTTTAGCCATTGAAGAGGTCTGATTTTGATGATGATGCCTTCTCTTTTGAAGAATTTTACTCGGAGAATTAGACAATGTTTTCTTCTAAAAAAGGAGAAAGTAATGTTTCTTCAGTACTCCCAGAAAGCTTCTTATACAGTTTAGACCACAAGCATAGAGTAGGTGTAGTGTAGAAGGATGCCAAGCAACTAAGCTGAGATACACCCAGCAGAAAGCAAGAAATGCTACTTTGAGAATTCTGTGGGGCTAAATACTATTGTTTCATTTGCCTTGATTTCTTTTGCAGTCCATTGTATGCTGAATGTCAGTCATCTACTGAGTCTTATCCAAAGTTCCTGAGCCCAGAGGTAAGGCCCATAGGCACAATTGCTTTTGACTATACAGAAGAAAGCCATATTATATTGGCACCTATTATCAAGGGTTCTAGAAGAGAAGTAGAGCAACCTTCCCTTCCAGGACCAAATCTGAGGGTCACCTCATGTTCTTCTGAGCTGCCTATTGATTCATTCATGATGCTCTGAATTAATATTACCCCTCCTTGTAAATTCAGCTGTTCTATGGGAAAGAATAGATTCACCAGCCAGAGAAAGGAAGATATGAAGCGCATGAAATCATGCCTCCTGTTCTGAAAAAGTCTGGAAGCTGCATTCCCTTTTCCACCATACAGCTGTCCACACATTATCAGAAGGAATAGCATAAAGAAGCCATTGGTTCATGGTTTAGCTTCCATAGCAACATAGTACATGGAGTTAACTAATAAAAGATGTGGCTGGTCATATACAGATGATGAGTTTCTATATTAATTCACCCTTCTCTAGTCCTCGACCAGTTTTACAAAGTGTGAAAATGTATGTCACTTAGTATTTACGGTGTCAAATGATTTTGTTTTATGTTCATGCTTTCTGTCTTCCTTGTTACCCAACCTCCCTCAACCTGGTGCTCTCCAGATGTGTTGACTGTCTATTCTAGCAAAGGACCAAGGATGTCCTGGCTTGGAAATTATAGGTGAAGTCCAAGACATCTGGAAAGCCCTAGATTGGGGAAGCCATATCCTGCATTACTGTCTCCCTGTCTCTGTCTCACAGAGTCTATTCTAGCACTTAAAAGATTTATGGTATTTGAAAATGCATGATCATAGTAGTGTTTATTAAATATCTTGAAAATGTAATGGATTAGCTTTTAAGAACCCACAGTATTTTACTCCTGCTGAGAAGTGGAATGCCTACTACTGAATTTATGAGTCTGACTTTATGATAAAAGGCCTCAATTGAAATAAATAAATTACAGGACATTTCATTTATTGCTAGGCAAAGAATAACATCAGAATGCTGGGTCTGAAAGTTTATTCTCTCTTCATGGCCAAAGCTCAAAAGGTAAGAGGTGATAGATGCAAGTCATATACATAATTCTGCTGAAATAAGAGGGGTTTCTTTCCCTATAAAGCAGAGCGTTGTAGTAAAAATAAAACAGTGTCCTATCCAAAAGAAATAGAAAACTGGCAGTAGCTTGGTTTTTGTATAAATGATTTTTGCAGAAAAGCCAGTATCCCTCTAACAGATACACTGTCTATCAGTCTATGCAGAGAAAGTATGCCTTTGGGACAATTTATTTCAACCAGTTATAGAATTACTAGGCTGAAGCACAGATAACCATACAGTAACCCAACCAAGTGGGAATATTGGCTTTTCCTTCAGTCCTTCTAAGATCTTTATTTATTTTATTAATAACATTTATATGCCACCCATCTCACTATATAAGTGGCTCTAGCTGGCTTACAAGTAAAAAAAATGCCTCCCTGGCTGCTGCTGGGCTGACATGTAGCTGTGAGAGTCACTGCCTACAGCAGGCATAACATACTAAGGAATCACCGTTACCGCTTCTACTGTCCTCAGGAATTATACAAATAAACTTCCTACTTTACTCAGTTTACTCAGGTCCTGGTGCCTTCTGTTGATTACTTCCATTCTGATATCCAATCTGGTGTTGCTTTAGGTGGCAATACAGACTAATAGAATTCTGTAAAGAAAATTTGTAGCAAATACCTTTCTCCTAAACCCTAAAAGATGACTCTCCACATGGACATTTTGAGATGGACAACACCAAAGTCAAATTGACTATGTAACCTGTAAGGAAGAAGCTCTATTCAATCAACAGAAACAAGATCTGGTGCTGATTGCACCCCGGAGCACATTACACACTTTATCTTGCAAAATTAAAATTGAAAGAATAATTAAAAAAAACAAATAAGATCATCAGATCAACAAGATAACAACCTCAGCAATATTCTGTATGATTATATGGTGAGGGTAAAGAATAGATTTAATAAAGAGAATGCCTGAAAAACTTTGGGCTGAAATTCATGAAACAATTGAAAACACAGCAAACAAAAATACTTTGAAATGAAGAAAGCAAAACAAGGTGATATGGCTGCTTGCTGATACCCAGAAAATAGCTGAAGAAAGGCAGAAATTAAAAGGCAACACACAGAAAGAATTTCAGGCAGGTCCTCTCTTATCCAGTTATTTGTGGCCCAAATATACTATGCCTAAATAAAGAGAGCAGTTGAAAGAACTGGGTAATGTTGAATGGGCTCTTTCTCTTAAATTAACTGGGAAACTGTATTTAAAAAGTTTAGAATTCTTAAAATACTGAAAAACAATAGGTCAGATATATTTACTTATAGAAAATACATTAAAAACAAGGCTTCTAAACATTTCATCCTCTTATCATTTTTGAAGAACAATTTCGTCTTACCAAATGATCAGAAGCAGGTAATGGAGAGAGAGTTCTTATGGGAAGGATCTGAAAAATGTTACTGTAACCCCGAAGGTATATCTTGCTTTAAAGGTTTGTTGGAAAATAGAAAAATAACTCTGGATTCATTTTATTTTCCCAATAAGGTACTTTAAGAATTTATTTTTTATAATTTGTATTGCTTTTTAATTAATAACAAAAAAAGAAAAACAAAACACAAAAATAAGTGACAAAAATACAACAAAGACAATAAAAAACTTAGCATAATATGTCATTATAGCAGTAAATAGTTACAACTCTATTTATATTTATCTAATACAGATATTATTCGGATGCATATATATTTCCAATACATTTATGTAAATATTTTTTTTAGCCTACTGTATTTTGTATAAATGAGTCCCATATTTCATTATACTTGTCCATACAAAGTCTACATTATAGCAGTAAATAGTTACAACTCTATTTATATTTATCTAATACAGATATTATTCGGATGCATATATATTTCCAATACATTTATGTAAATATTTTTTTTAGCCTACTGTATTTTGTATAAATGAGTCCCATATTTCATTATACTTGTCCATACAAAGTCTACATCTACAGGCAATCTGCTCATAAGTGGCAAGCACAATCAGGTCTTCAGTCCATTGAATAAATGGGGCCATACATTTATCTTTCCAATGCTCCAGTATCAGTCTGTTGGGCATAATAAGGGCACGGAGAATCCATTTACGTTGTCCAGATGTCAAATTCCATGTACTAGGTATATAGTTCAAAAAAATATCATCCTCTGAAAATTTTAGCTTTTGTTGCATAATCATATTTATATAGTCCACTACTTTCTTCCAAAACTTAGTAGGTATAGGACATTGTAAAAACATATGCTTTAAAAAGTCATTGTCCTTATTACAGATCCAACAATCCTTTTCTGTACAAGCATAGTGGAGTCCAATAAATTCTAAATATTATTTTTTGTTGTTTACGTCATAGTTTAAGGTCCGTTGACACTCTTGTTATAGAATTTAAAACACTCTCCCATTATCTAGAAATATAGAAACCTATAATTCTTTATTCCACTCATCCCTTAACATCTGCATTTCAAATGGATTTATTGATAACAAATATCTATAAAAGTAATAGTAGATTTTTTAGTTTTAAAGGATTTAACAAGTTGTTCTAATATCTCAGGTGTCTCAGAAGCTGAAAATACTGCTGGCCCAAACAATGTTAACAAATGTTGTAGCTGTAGATATTGCCATCTGATAGATGATATTTATCTCTTAATACAGCCTATGTTAAAAATTCATCTTCATCATCTATCAATTGGTCCAGAGTCAATATCCCTGCCTCAGTCCAACTTTTCTATATCACCATCTTTTCCCCAATTTTTAATGTTGGGCTTCCCCATAGAGTCAATTTAGCATGGGAAAAAGGATTGAATCTTTTTTTTATTAGACATTACATTCCATAGCTTTCAAACTGACATAATCATTTCCAAAGATATTAGAAGTACATTATGAATTTATGCAGATTTATCTGGTCAAACTAGAAAGAGATCAAGAAGGCAAAATAATGTTTATAAAGAATTCCAAAATTATGCTGACAAAATGAAAACCATATAGCATGAGAGATTATATGGCACATTGGTTTATTTCTTAGTTTCCATGGATGAATAGGTTCCTGGTCATTCAACAATCCATATTAAGAGACTTTTCATCCATTTCTTCAGACTTGGTGCCCATTCTAATTCTTTTTAATTCTATGTTACTGTTTTTGTAGAGCATCTCTTAATGATCTAAATAAATACCACACTTTTAATCAGTTGAAAAAAATTGGGATTTATAGAATTGGAAGGTTTTTAAAAAATAAAAAATAAAAAGAAGCTGCTTTCTAGTCAACAGTTGAATTAACAACAAGGATCCATGTGGCTTCAAACAAAACTGATACCTGTTTTTGCCCAAAGGATCCATTAGGATCAAATTTTACAGAGTACAGTCTATCTTAAAGCCAGCCAGCCAGCCAGCCAGCCAGCCAGCCAGCCAGCCAGCCAGCCTGCCTGCCTGCCTGCCTGCCTGCCTTCCTGCCTTCCTGCCTTCCTCTCCCTCCCTCCCCCAGGCATCCACATGGTAGAAATGGATGCCTGAAACTTAATATGGGGCAATTTTAAAACTGAAAACAGCATGAGAGATAAATTTTAACATCTGAATTTCATTCTGAACCTGGGAGAGTTTATAATCCCTTCCTCTTATAAGTCAATATGAGAGAACATAAATCAAATGATTTATTAATGGTATTAAAATCTGATGCACTTTTCTAGTCATTGTCAAAGAAGCAGCAGCAAAAGAGACTTATATTTATAGACATGACTGTGCTGGCACAAAATGTAGCAAGCTAATGAATGTAAGCTCAGGGCACTGCAGCATTATTTAAACTTTGATAGAGTTAATGATGCAGGAACACGCAGGGACTTGGGAAGTTCATGTAAGCAGCAACCCACATGGGGATTGCAGGGCTGGAAATAGGGTATGAATCTTGTAGTTAGGAATTGGACTGAGCAAATATAGCATTAACGGGAAAACTGACAGCTCCATTCAATAAACTAAAACCCCAAAGAAACAGTACTGTACATGGTACTTATTTCATGTAATGAAATAAAAATTTATTAGTACAATTGGTGGAGTAAAATTTGGAAATACACCTGAAATGTTCCTAGACTTGCTTTGAGCTAGCTTTTGATGAACTACAGGGAGGGATGGAGTCTTAGACTGGTGTAGTTGCCTGGATAGGATAACTCTGATGCCTCTGTTGTTTATTGCTTTAATAACATGTCATGTTTTAAATTATGGAAATAGAAGCAAACAAATCAAAGTAAGAACTGTTAAGGAGTAGACCCTGCCCCATCTATTACATTTAAATGAATGCAGTTAGGGTGGAATAGTTACAGATATGGGGAGGGGGGAAGAGGGGGGACTCTTGCATGTTGTGCAAGAGGAGATATTTCAGCTTGTGCCCCTTCACTGATAATATACATTTGCATAAATCCTAATTTCAAACAAGTATTAAATGCCTAGATTCCATGTTCTCCTTGGTGCATGATCTCTTTGGAAGATTGTTCTCTAAAAACTGGCAGCAAAACTAGGCAGGACAGTGAGGTATCCTACTGAACACCAGTAATATAATAGGACGGGATATTGTAAAGCATTGAATAGGTTGGACTAAATACATAGTCATATATATACTTCCTTTAATACAATATTGGTTTGGATGGACCATCAGTGTTGCCATGTAGGGTTTTTTTTTAATGAGATTCCCTTATACATGGCATAGATTTTTTCCATGCATTTGAGAAACTCCTTTAAGGAAGACAAAGAATTCAGCAGTAGGATATCCTTTGAATGCCTCAGATTCCATACTCAATCCTTAGTATCTTCTACACATAGGAGCTTGGGGGCTCATCCTTACTTCCCACTTATCACAGCACCTCGACACCTTTATAACCATTCTTAAGGGACATGTCCTTGTGATGGTGCCTCCCTCCCATCCCCAGACTGTTGTGTAGGTTGCCTTTAGTTGTTCCAGTGTGAATGTGGTATTTTCCTCCTTTTCGTCACAA